ATCTGTTACGTCTAAGTTATTGATTATATTATTGACTTCTATAGTTTCTTTGTTCAGCTTTTGTTTGGAAGATCTATCTAGTGGTGAAATAGATGTTCAGAATTATTGTGTTGTGGCCTATTTGACTCTTGAACTTGAGAAGAGTTTGATTAATGAATGTAGATGCTCCATTGTTTGGGGCATATATACTTATAATTGTTATGTCTTGTTGATGTATGGTTCCCTTCAGTATTATGAAATGTCCTTCTTTATCCCATTTGATTAACTTTGGTGTGAAATCTACTTTATTTGATTTGAGGATAGAAACACCTGCTTGTTTCTGTAGTCCATGGGAGTGGTATGTTTTTCCCAACCTTTAACCTTCAGTCTGTGGATGTCTTTTCCTATGATATGAGTCTCTTGAAGGCAGCATAATGTTGGCTCTTTTTAAAATCCAATCTGCCAGTCTATGTCTTTTGACTGGTAAATTTAGGCCATTAACATTCAGGGTTATTATTGAGACATGACTTATAATTCCTTGTCATTTTTATTTATTTTTAGTATTTAACTTGATTTGGTTTCACTTTTGATTGTTTTTTCCTTTAGTGTAATAACTCTCTTTGATGATTTTCATTGTAGTTTTTTATTTCTTCTTCATGGCATAGCTTGCTGAGGGTGTTCTATAGCACAGGCTTTCTAGTTGTAAATTCTCTTAACTTGTTTATCATGGAAGGGTGTTTTTTGTAATCAAATATAAAGCTTGATTTTGCTGGATATAAGATTCTTGTTTGGTATCCATTTTCTTTCAGAACTTGGTACAGCTTCTGGGTTGAAAAATATGGAGAAATCCTGATTGTTTTCCCTCTATATGTAATCTGATTCCCTTCTGTTCTGGCTTTTAAAATTCTACCCTTATTCTGTATGATAGGCATTTTCATTATAATGTGTCTTGTTGTAGATCTGTTGTAATTTTGTATATATGGTGTCATGCAAGCCTCTTATATTTGGTTTTCCAATTCATTCTTTTGGGAAATTTTGTGATATCATTTCATTGAAGAGATTCTGCATTCCTTTGGTTTGAATCTCTGTGCCTTCCTCCATCCCAATAAATCTTAGATTTGGTCGTCTGATGCTATTCCATAGTTCTTGGATGTTCTGTTCATGGTTTCTTACCATCTTCATTGAGCAGTCAACTTTATTTTCAAGATTGTATATTTTGTCTTCATTATCTGATGTTCTGTCTTCCAAGTATTTTAGATTTTAATTTTGTTTATTATTTCCTAAATTTCAAGGATTTCTGTTTTTTTTCAGAATCTCTCTTACTTGAAGTAGTCTTTGCTCCCTGTATTTGCTCCCTTATCTCTTTCTTGGAGTTATCAATGGTTGTCTGTATCTGCTCCCTTAACTCTTTGTTGGTGTGATCAATGTTTGCCTGTATTTGCTCTCTTATCTCTTTTTTGGAATGATCAATTTTTGACTGTATTTGCTCATTTAGGTCATTCTTTAATTCACAGATAATTTTAATTATGTACATTCTGAACTCCATCTCTGATATTTAATCAACGGAACTGTCCATGGATTCTATTACTGTAGTATCTTGGTTTGTTTGGGGCACTTTCCTCCTTTGTTTTTCATGTTGTCTATGTGTCTTCCCTTCTTGCAATGCAGCTCTGAGGTATTACAGTTCCTACCCTATAATCTTATAGTGTCCCTGCAGATAACCTATACCTCACCTTGCTGTTGGGCTTCTAAACCCTGGCCAGTGTCCCATGATAAATGCTACTGCAACTAAATGTGGTGGTGGGAATAACAGAGATAACTCAAGATAGCAGTGGGGGTGTCCCAAGATGGATGGTGAAAGCTCCACCACTTTCAGAGATGGAGCTGAAAGGGTGAAACTTACAATGGCTTTGGGCTGCCTGTTCAGAGATGCAGCTGCCTCCAGGCCCTATCTGTTGTCCCAAGGTGGAGGCTACTATATGGGGAGGGTATAGGGATTGCTATAGTGCCCCAAGATGAAAGTGGGATAGGTACTGGGTCTGCAGGTGGGCAAGGGTGGTCCTGGGACTAACCTTGGGAGCTCTCATGAGGGTCGAGGGTCAGTGGGGCACTCCGAGGCCTGAGGCTGGACTCCAGCATAGGTCTTACATTCTTCTTTTTATTGAAGGAATTTAGAAGTTTTAACTGTAGACTTAGAAACATTAATCACTTTAAAATGTCTTAAAAATAAAGCAGAAAAATTTTTGGTTAAATAGTTAATATCCTAAATACAAATCCATCTAATCTCAAACCTTAACTAAATTCTCACACACCCAATGAATATGTGTTTAAACTCCATGCCTGGAAAAAGTGGATTCTGCCAAAATCAAATCAGAGTGTTCATTCTGAAGACCTAAGAGATCAATCAATAGACTCTTCCCAATAATTCAAGAATAGAATAGCAATATTATAGGTTAAGAATACCTAATTGAAAAATCTGAAATTTGACATACTCCAAAATGCAAAACTTTTTGAACATCAACATGATGTTTCAAGTACAAATTCCATACCTGACATCATGTGATAGGTCAAACTCAAAACAAAAGTGAACTAAAAGTATTGTATAAAATTACCTTCAGCAGCCTGGAATTGTGGCTCAGTGGCAGAGCGCTTGCCTCTCAAGTATGAGGCACTGGGTTCGATCCTCAGCACCACATAAAAATAAATAAAAATAAAGATATTGTGAACAACTACAACTAAAAAATACATATTTAAAAAATTATCTTCAGGCTATGCATAGAAAGTATATATAGAATATAAATAAATTTAATTTTTAGACTTGTATCCCACACAAGATATCTCATTACAGCCAAGTACAGTGGCACATGCCTTTAAACCCAGAAGCTGGGGAGGCTGAGGCAGGAAGATCACAAGTTCAAAGCCAGCCTTGGAATGGCCCTTAGAAACTGAGAAAGACCCTGTCTCAAAATAAAATAAAGAGCTGGGAAAGGATCTCAGTGGTTAAGCATCCCTGGGTTCAATATCTGGTACTAAATATATATATATATATATATATATATATATATATATATATATATATATATATCACAGAATCTGAAAAAATCTGAAAGCTAAAACATTCCCATTTTCAAGCATTTCAGACAAAGGATATTCAACTTGAATTGATAATATTTATATAAATATAGCATACCAAATGTGAAAAGTGCTTTCATGCCCATTATCTAATTTGATTGTCAAACATTATGAAGTAAATAGGGAATAATTTTGCTTGGATTACAGATGATAAAATTAAGTCCTGGCAATAATAAGTAACCCACAATGGTCACAACAGAAAGCAAGTGATGAAACCAACTTTATACGTCAGATTTGGATTCTTATTAAATTTTGTTATCTTTGAAAAGAGAATAGACTAGAAGTTTTCTATATTTATTTCCAGATTTAAACCAGTGATTTATAAGAACCATCATGCTTCCTTTTAGAAGTGGAACCAGGGACAATATTAAAAACACTTCAGTTTGGTGAAAGTAATTAAAGGGTTTTATTGGTAGCATTTTTCTGAAATGTGATATTTCTTGATTCATATTTTTCTAAAAACATTTTCGGAATGTGAATATTCTCAAAATTATTCTAGAATGATTTCATTAGGTAGGATTTATATATTCTTGGTGTTTATATAGGAGTAAATCATTAGCAGTATCTGAACTTTATGCCTTCTTTTTCTGGTATATTTTATATTTTTACACTTTCTCATTTCATTTTTTTGCATGCTTTTTTATTTTGAGACAGCAGGCAGCGAATTATAATAAACTGTGGTCTTTCTGGTAGGGAAGATAGTATAATATACTTTCCAGACACTAACAAACAATGAGGTTAGAAAAGGTATAAAGGATTGTTTGTGCACTGTTCCTTGTTTAAAGCTGTTATAACTATAAATTTTGTTTGTAATTAAGATACTTTAAAACATTAAGTTTTTCATAAATATCTTTTAAACAAGTTTATTAACATTCTTATAAATATATGAAGCACTATTCCCACTATTCTATAAATATATCTTTTGTTTTCAGCCAAGTGATTGCATTTTAACATGATTATTCACTTAAGATATTTATCATATTCAGTGTAATAATTGGATCCTCATGTATAATATGGATGGCTCACTTTGTATTTTACATAGTGGAATTAGGGAAGAAAATACTTAATGTTGTACTTAAATTTAAGATTTTAAAAGTTGTATGGCATACATTTACAAAAGGAAACAATGTTCTTCTTTGAGCTTCCAAATTAAAAAGTATTATATACGTTTACTACTCATTGGGATGGTAGTGATAATTAAATCACTAACAGATGTATAAATGCATTACTTCATAAAAGTCTGTGAATGAATAAAATGTGGGTTTGGCAAATATGCATGTATTATTTATGAGTCCTCCAGGCGCTCAACAAATGGAAACATTTTCTCTTTTGTGTAAGTGCTAATCTCAAAGGAACTATGAGTAATTAAAATAAACTCAATAATGTGTAACCACTAAAAAAATATTTTCAGTGTGATAAGAGATTTTTTTTTCAGTCAAAGTATGAAATAGTGTTGATTATATACATAATTATAAGAATTATTTACAATTGAGACCCTGGCTTAGTAGGGTAATTGCAACACAAAGTCCTTGTTTGTTTACTCAGAAACTAGCCTATGAAACCTGTCCTTTATAATGTCTGTTATTGTTGCATTCAAACAGGTATCCATCCCTCCTTTTTTGTGCATTTTTCAGAGGCTTGGTGCAAATTTGGAAGCTTTCATTGAACGTTTTCCTGCTCTAGTTTTTTTTTTTCTTTGTTTTTTTTTTTTTAATTCTACCCAACCTTCTATTCTAACTGCATATATTTCAATTTTGTATGCTCTTTTATAAATAGTTTTAATAACATTAAAATATCTGCATTTGTTCCCCACCCTCAGATTCGTAAAACTGGATTGGATATGTGATTTCTTTTTTATGTCTGTCCCTCCTAGGTAGAAATCAGGAAAAATTCATAGTTCCTGTGTTTCAGGGTGCCAACATATTGGACTACTTTATTTTTGGCAATGATAGAATTTAAAGGATGGGACATACACTGTTCTAAATGTTAGCCCAAGAACCAAAGGACTCAAGAAAAAGGGAAACAAGTCCTGAACTCTAGGAACTGAGAACCTTGATCACTCATTGGACACAGATCATGTCAATCATCACTCTCAGCAAATGATCTTACAGCTCGTGAGAAAGAGGTGATCCTTTGTTGACACCTGTAATCTCTGCCCCCATCAACGGACATTCTGAATCTTTCCCATCTTTTCTGCCATCATCGCTGTGCCCAGAAGGGGTAAGTCACTCCTTGGTCTGCCCTCCGGCTCTTGTGGGGCCTCTACAGGAGCAGTCTCAGGCTGCTATTCCCTGTGCGAACACCTTCTCTAGTGCCCCCACCACGTCCCAGCATGCCCCGCGCCCAAAATCCTCCCCTCCATACCTCCGTCATACATTCACCTTAGGTGGCAGCCATTTTCATAGCCATCATCTTTGACACCAGATCTCATTACGTAACTAGTGTGTCTCACCTGTCATGTCTGAGACAACTAAAGGGCGAGAACCAGCCTTAGGGGGCCACAATGGAGCTGGAAGATGGGTGAATCCAGATCAGGAATACATGGAAGATGGTTTAGTGCCTGAAGAATGGGTAGACATAGCTGCCGGATTTGTGGCACCAATGGCTTTTCAAGCAGAGATGCAAGCCATTTGGGAGGAGGAGGAGGAGGAGGACGACGACGACGACGACGAAGAAGAAGAGGAGGAGGCCTGGCCAGATGTTGAGGATGTTGAGAGGGATGTACAGCTGATGGAAGAGGAAGAAGAAAACATCGAAGAGGGAGAAGACAATGAGGAGGAGGGAAAGGAGAAGGAAGAAGAAGATAGCCATGAAGAGTGGGTACACACTGAGGACAATGATGAGGAAAATGATCAGGAAATGGAAGAAGTCGCAGTTGTTGGTGAGTTATCTTTTGTGTGTTTTGGTCCTTGTGCTGGGATCTTGTCCTTTCTACGTATTATAATGATCTTATTACAGTAAGGCACCACACAGGCAATGGGGAAACCTGATGACCCACAAGAGAGTGCCAAGGTGTAGATGGGCAAATACCTACCCTGGGGGCAAGGGGACCTAGCAGCATTCTAGAAGGCAGAGGAACCAGCAGCAGATGCTGAGATTGAGGAGGGCAAGACCCAACAGATGTCTTAACTACAGGGAGCCTGGGGCATAGTGGACCCCAGGGAGTGGAAGTTACCAGGTCATTGCAACAAAGTACTTGGGCCTTTGAAGTCTCTGTTAGTAGCTGGCTCACTTGCAGGGCATGCTTATAGCTTGACTGTCCTTGGTAAGCAGGCCAGTGTTCTCAAAAAACCTTTGGCCCAATTTTCCCATGTAGAAGCCCAATTCTATAAATACCTTCCAGTCTTGAGAAAAATTATGTTGCCTTCTACCAATCTCTGATAAGAGATTGAAGATATTCAATGCAGTGTATGTGCCCATGGAAAATGAATGCTAGCAGGTACTAAGTGTTCAGGACGGATCTTAAGAGGAAATGTATGGAGAGTTTGAAGGCAAAGGGCAAACTAATGGTATACCCTGTTTTTGGCTGGTAGATTTTAAAAATGTGAAGATTCTTGGTAGGATAATCAAATAAAATGATGAACCGGTACTAGAGCATTTCAAAGATGCTAAAATTAGATTTTCATAGGTTGAGCAATCAAGTAATTTCACAATAGAATTTAAATCAAACAAATACTTATTCAGTAAATTTTTGACAGAAACATAACAAATGCAATCAGACCCAGATGATTCTGATCGCTTCTAGTCTGAAGGGCTAGATATAATCAGTAGCACAGGGTTGGGCTCTATTGGAAAGAGGGGAAAATATCACTGTGAAAACTACTGACCAGAAGAAATATGAGGGCCATGGAAATATTGTATCAACTACTAGGAAGGTCTCCAGATATTCTTTTTACAAAACATACTCCTGTCCTGAAGGTAGAGTCCTGGATGTTACTGCAAATTGTAAATTGAGCAATTTTTTTTGTCTGAGAAGCTGTGGCCTGTTTTATTCTTTACTATTCCAGTAGCTGAATATAAGTATGGCGACTCTGATGATGAGGCTCAAGAAGCAGAATGTGAAAAAGAGAAAGATGAGGATGACAATGAAAAACTGGAAGAAGATCCTAACAATAATTCAGAACCAGCTGAAAGCAGCCCCTAGAATCCAGGTATCTATGTGTAGCTTTGTGTATCACCTAACCATTCCTGGAAATATACCTGTTAAAATTTGGTAAACTAAACAAAAAAAATTCATGGAGACAGCATAAGCTTTTTCAATGGAAACCCAAGAATGATCTCTCAAAACAAAACAAGCATTTTTGATGTTTGAAAGTGAGAAATGAGGTGGCTGTGATCAGAACATAAAATTCTGATTATGCATGAGCACTTTAATACCCAAGGATCTGGGTTATAAGAGGAAACTGAGTTGATTTTGCCTTTTGAGACAACATACATTGACTATTTTCTCAGATTTTGAAATCTAAATGCATGTTAATGGTGTACATTTATCAATTATCTCTTATTTCTTCCCACAGTTTGAAAGCAGAGAACTAAAAGAAGGAAGAAGCAGTGAATTTGTAACAGATTTAAGATTTTCTGATTTTTAGTCGCACATGAGAAATTTATCAACACTGATTTTGTTGAAGTTCATCACCCAAAAAGTGATGTACACTGTTCTTCTTCTATGCTTTTTGGATATATTTGACAGCATTTGTTCTGTTCAAAAATAAAATGTTTTTGAAATGAATAAGCTAAAGACTGATAAATAACACAAACTCAAATCTTGATGTATTTTTCTTGTTGTTTTGGCCACCAGTCATTGAAGGGGATCGCTTTCAAGATCCTGTCAAGAGGGACTCTTGGGGCTGGGATTGTGGCTCAGCAGTAGAGTACTCACCTAGAATGGGCAAAGCCCTGGGTTCGATGCTCAGAACCACATAAAAATAAATAAATAAAGGTATTTTGTCCAAATCCAACTAAAAAATAAGTATTTTTTAAAAAAGAGGAACCCTTGTTCTACATCCCATGCTTTAGAGACCCCTCTTGGTTCTCTCCATGCTATACCATTCCCACAGGACCAGGAGCCCAGTTTGTGGATCCAAAGGAATATATGCATACTCAGAGTCCTTATCCACTCCAGTTTATCCTCAAGATAATTGGGACCCCTACGTTCTTTACCCATCTGGTCTCAGGTCTGTTTCTACCACCATGTATACTTCTCTACATTGTCCTTTGGAGAAATAACTGATGGTATATACATTCATACATGGCTATGGGCTAGCTATACATAGGGGACAAGTGATGAAAGGGTAAACACAGTAAATGAGTTTTGTCATGGCAGGGGATGAAACTCAGGTTGGGAAGATAAAGAGTACTGGCTTACCTATGCTCATGGGCTTAGAATGGTGGTAATAGTTCTTCCCATACCGATCATACAGAAGGTAGAGTAGTCCAGGAATTCTGAATTAAAATCTGACTTTTCAGATTGTTAGAATGATATATTAGTTCTGGAAGGAGATACAGAAAATGTTATTTAACAGTTTATTAGTTGATTTAAACATTTTAAATTCTTAGGTATAGGACATGTATGCTTCCAAATGATTTCTTGCCCTAAACCCTGCAATTTTTTACAAATATTATAGGTTGGCTATGTTAAATATTTGGTCTACTCATTCCCCCCTTGGGCTTATTGACCCTCTCTTGGCCCCGTCTTGGTGTTTTTCACTGCTGCATGCTAACCACATGACTAGCTTAGAAGAACCAGATGGACTTTTGGCTTTGCATTTGTGCCACAACCAATGTTCTAATCATAGTATTCTTCATCTGGAACTCCCCTTCTCATATAGAGAAGTATTGCAAATACTTTAAAACATATAGCTTAAGAAACTGGCTGCCCTCATTCCTGATACATGAACTACATGAGTTCTCTGCCTCTGTTTTGTGACTATCACTGATGTCCAATAGGAATTGAAAACTTGGTCAGGCTAAGAAGTTTCCATTCCTACATTGGTAGCAGATTCTGTCCACATAATGGTAGTTCTTGAGTCTAAGCTCAAGACAGTTTTGGGTAACTAGGACATTCAAACTCAGAAGATGGCATGCTATCATGAATAGCATGATAGCATCTTGATGAAAGATACCTACTACAGCACTAATAAACATGAAAAAGGCTGGCACTTTAAGATATGGAATAATCTTTTAAAGAATTGATTAATAAGTTTGATAGAAATACTATTTCTGCCATGGTAGCCTGAGGAGCTCTGCTGATCCTTTCCCCAGGTAAACCTGTGAAAATCACTTTTTTAAAAAGCCCAATTATATAACTTCTCTTAAAATGGTCTTAAGGTCATACAGCAAGCAAACAAACATTTACTCAAGGAAAGCTACTGAAATTTTGGGAAGAATAGTGAGTGTGGGTATCCTAAACTAGGTACATATTTTCTATTCCTTCCTCTAATTTCAGCAAGATGGAAATTCAAGGTTAGTGCAGTCAAGAAAACAGGATTTATCTCCTCCTGCCCTTCTGTCCACAATGACCTTTATTTTTGCAATATCTTTATTTATTTTTATGTGATTCTGAAGATCAAACCCAGTGTCTCACACATGCTTGGCAAGTGCTCTACCACTAAGCCACAACCCCAGCCCCTCCAGAATGATCTTACCAGAAAGAAATGACCACTAGCATTTCTCATCTTGCTCCCAGCTACCTTTGCTGAGGCTGAGTTTCAGGTGAGTCCAGTTTAGAATAGAGATTCACATCTTTCATGCAGCCTCCACTTGCAGGATGGATGATTTACACAGCACTGCTGAGAATATTAGGCCCCCAATCTGGTAAGAGATTTTTCACTGGGAGAGATAACAAAGAAAACCAAGTACTTCCCCCTATTGAATGCACAGCTCCTTGATTACAAAGTGTCTGCTCCCATTACCAGATCCAGATTCATACCTAAGCAATTTTGCCCAGGGAAAAAATCAGGTCATTTAATAGAGTTATGTATCTCTTCCCAAAGAAAGTGAACCCATTTGCAATGGAGTGTGAAAAGTTAAAGTTTATGGATCTCAAAAATAATGGAGTTTGTGATTGAGAGGAATTAAGAAGAAATTGATAGAATCATTAAAAATAAAAGTATCAGCAAGCAAGCTTATGACAGGAACCAGGTTAAGAGCTAAGAAGACCTTCTCCATTTGGAGTCAGAAAAAAAAATTAACATAGCCTAAAAATCTATCCCTTCAAAGGATCCTGGATTTAATTGGATCAGTAGGTTGAGCGATGTATGCTTTACATGGCAATTAATGGAGAGTAACAGCTGAATGTGGTCAGGGAAAGGGATAATCAAAGGGAGCAGTGCCCAAACCACCATCATCCCAGGGTGCCTGGGCATACCCAAGCCTGTGCTTCCTGAAGAGGATCATCAGAGTTTTTATGCCTTGGGGGAAGGGAATAGACTTCACCAAAATAATACAATCAGCCAGTCACTAAACAAAAAGCAAATAACAGTATCAAGCCCCAGAAGTTCAGGTTTAACACATAACCATTGTATTTATGCTCAGAGTGAACAAGCAGGAACTGTGGAACCAGACTTTGGAGTAAAAAAATTAAGATGACCCTAGTTCCATCAGGATGATATGATTGGTTTGTTTGAATAATTTTGCAGTCTGGCAAGGAAAGGAAGTTCACTAGGTTGATGACTGGGTGGAGTACAGCTGAATAGGCTGATAGGTGAACTTGCCTGGTGAAAAGACTTTCCCACTGACTGGGGTAATATCAGACAAGAGTAAAGGAAATACTAACTAGTCATTCGAGGCACTGTGAGGCTCAAACTGTCAAGACAATATATTAAATTTTAAGCATAACAATGGAAAAAAATAAGTGGTCAAAATACACTGACGGAATTTCCATTTGCGACCCTGAATGTACAGCACAGAATGGCAGTAGGTAAAAACAGGCTGAAAGAGATGGTTATATCACTGCTTCAGGCTAACAGAAAAGACACCACACATTGAGCTGTCAGGACCATTGCCATAGCCTGAGGACACTTCTCTATTGCCACAGTTAGTTTACAATGAGCTACCCATAAAAGATGAGGCTGAAAACATGGAAAGGTTCTCAGCAATCTAATTACATCCAAACACAATGTACTACCAAAGAGCAAATATAGGTTGTTGATAGTCTGCCTTCAGGAGAATAAAAATTGCCAAAGAATGAAACCAGCTTGTTAACTTCAAGTTTTTAAAATCATTATAGGAAGCACAACCAAGAAAGATAAAATCCTTTAAAATATGGTAGAATTGGGCATGATATAGATAATAATTTGATTTCATAAACACTAAGAGCAGGAAAAAAGCCTAAAAAACAAGTAAGTTAAAAGCTGGTATTTATGAAATGATAAATCAACACAGTGTAAAATTAGAGGATAATCCTTCCTCTGGAAATCTTCCAAGACCTACATTTTGTAAACGTGTATTTCTCTTGTCTTTTTTTTTTTTTTTTTTTTAATTTTTTTTTATTGGTTGTTCAAAACATTATAAAGCTCTTCACATATCATATTTCATACATTAGATTCAAGTTGGTTATGAACTCCCAATTTTACCCCAAATACAGATTGCAGAATCACATCGGTTACACATCCACATTTTTACATAATGCCCTATTAGTAACTGTTGTATTCTGCTACCTTTCCTATCCTCTACCATCCCCCCTCCCTCCCCTCCCATCTTCTCTCTCTACCCCATCCACTGTAATTCATATCTCTCCTTGTTTATTTTCCCATTCCCCTCACAACCTCTTATATGTAATTTTGTATAACAATGAGGGTCTCCCTCCATTACCATGCAATTTCCCTTTTCTCTCCCTTTCCATCCCACCTCATGTATCTGTTTAATGTTAATCTTTTCTTCCTGCTCTTCCTCCCTGCTCTGTTCTTAGTTGCTCTCCTTATATCAAAGAAGACATTTGGTATTTGTTTTTTAGGGATTGGCTAGCTTCACTAAGCATAATCTGCTCTAGTGCCATCCATTTCCCTGCAAATTCTATGATTTTGTCATTTTTTAGTGCTGCGTAATACTCCATGGTGTATAAATGCCACATTTTTTTTATCCATTCATCTATTGAAGGGCATCTGGGTTGGTTCCACAGTCTAGCAATTGTGAATTGTGCTGCTAT